AGAATTCAAATTGAGCAGCTCGACAAAACAACGAAAAATCTCTGGGGAAGACCTGCAAATCATCCACTTGAAGAAGTTACTCATTATAAAAATATAAATCTCTTCCAAGAACATTTAGTTCCTTGTATTTGTTAAAAAATAAAATTTTTTGCCAAAAAATACATCCGTTTTTTTGTTCTATATGCATATTTGTTGTGCCCGAACATGCCCGAACACGGGAAAATTTGCATAAGTTGTTTTGGCGTAAGCCAAAGCTCATTTTGCACCTATACGCTTATGCATATGATAAGCAAAACTTAATTTCCGAAGCAGCAATTTGCCAGTAGAAATGAAACCTCAACTCTGATGAGTTCGTAAATGTGGCGTGGATGTGCGATAAAGTTGCATTTGGAATATTTAGCTCACACAAGAACAGAGAACACCCCCGTGAAATTTCAGTCTTCCATTTTTTCGGGTTTTTGGAATCGCCTTTCCGCCAAAAAATTTGCATGAGTTGTTTTAGGTGTCCGCACGTGAGAAACCGGTATGAACAACCATTGATTTTAAGCCGTTTGAATGGCATATGGGCTAGGAACATACCTGTAAAATTCCCGTTTCTCAGCTTCCGCGGCTGCTGAGTTCAATGTGGATGACAAAAATTTGAGTAAACATACATGCACACACACACACACACACACACACACACACACACACACACACACACACACAAACAAACAAACAAGAAAAAAAACAAACCGCCAACTGTACGACAATATGCATTCGCACAAAAATTTAAAAATGCATAAAAATGTGTCAAAAAATTAACGCGCACAAAAACACACACACGAAAACAGGCAAACCCCTTATAATATGCGTTTTAGCACTGCATGGATGCAAAAAACGAACCTGCATGGCACTAAAAAACGCTTTGCTGCATTTTGTATACATTTTTTCGCCTCGCAGAAATTCAATCCTTTCTTCCCAAATATCTCTTCGTCGCTGAAAAAACCACGGAAAAATGAGGGAACATTTAAACAAGGAATAATTAACAGTAGCTGCAATCAACGAAGGTAAAATAATCCAAAAGTCACAAAATTGAAACCGAAAAATCTCCAATCCAGCATGAAAGAATTTTCAACTTCTGAAGGAATTTTCAGTTTGCTCACAACCAAAAAAAAATGCCACCAGATTTCCGCCTTACCAAAGAATTTCCAATTTGCTCATAACCAAAAAAAATGCCATCAGCTTTACGCTATCTCCTCTCCCCTTCTTCCCTCCAAATTGGATGAGAGATAGAACCAGAGCCGAGGTACGACAAGATTTGCAGGGCAGTATCCGCACTCATCGGTAGTCGCGTAATGGGTAAACTGCGTTGAAATAGACATTTCTGTTGGCTATCCGCACCGAAGATAGAAATGCCGTGGGATGTTAACAAAAATGGCTATTCCCGTGAAGCTACCAGTAGCGACAGTCAGATATCACCCGCTTCAAAAGGGGTGTCTTCTCTTTAGCTCTTGCAACATCATTGGATCGTTTTTTCCCTTTTTCAAGAAATTTAATGTTATTCGTTCTCGTGTATTCAAGGTGAAAGATACCCAGCAATTTCCGTTGATTTATTTCTTCACTAAGTTAATTAGCTTTTTTAATAAATGAATATGGTTTAAGAGAATCTGGATTATTTTGAAAAGGTGCAGGGATAGCGGTAAGTGATTTATATTATTCAGGTATATTAAGTGTTGGAAATCAGCCCATTAAATCGTGTACATTCCTATTTATTACCACAGCTGGACTTCGTCAGTATGATGGTTGTGGTAATGACAAGCGTACTTAACAAAAAGAAGAAAAATGAATTAA